GGAGAATGAGCCCTTAACGGAAATAGCCTCTTGTTCTGTGCCAATGTTCTTCAGCTGACCCTGTTCGTCCTTTTGGGTGCCATCGGATGTCTCCAAACTGTAGTTGTGAGGGCAAAGGATCAGCAAAGGCTTGAAGCTCCCAAAATTCGTATGGCTTACCCATATTTGTAGCTGTCAGGCTGGACATCTGAGTCCAGACGCACAATTTTGACATCATCAACAGGCGCTGCCAGGGCCAGGGCGAAGAGGGCGACGAAGACAATGAGGAACTTCATGTTTAGATATTGTGTAGCGCGTTTGAGGCTTCAAAGGTAACTATGCTTAATGGCATATCATGGCTGAGTATTTATAGGTAAACATAGATGTCAACCTGCCCAGTTGACAATGGCAACAAACTAGTTTAATTCGCAAAATAATCGAAAAATTCGCGACAACTTATTGGCAATCAAAATAGCATGGGTATTCATAAAAATGCATGAGTCTTAATTTATTCCTTAATAGAAATCTGCCTCAGTCAAGCATGCCAAACTAGACTAACTAGCAAGAACCGCCTAATCATAAGTGCATGATTAGCATTTAATCAAGTCTGTGGAAAACTTAAGATTAAATATTAAATATTTATTCGTCAGCCAAACAAAGTTGTAAAGAAAACATCAACAACTTTCATCTTCACTGAGAACTAGCCCTGGTTTATTTACATCGCCTTGATCTAACACATTTTTCTTCTGAATTTGAACCAGCGAGCTGTTCGACTCCTTACCAACACAGACTAACGACTGCTTTACTGACCTAAGCGAATTATTTTTTTTTTTAATAAATTACGAATCAGAAAGCTGGAAGATGTCTTCCCGCTCCCTGACCTTCCCGGCGGATAGACACGCGAACATCTCTTTTTTGGCCGTGCATAAATTATAAATAATTTATACTTAATGCTTCTGCTTAAAACTTGAAATGTTCCAAAGAAAAAATATATGAATAGCAACAGAGAAACATGTTTTTGCGCCGATTAATGCAAAGACGAAGCTAATAAAAATAAAACAAAGTATTTTTTGGTTGGCAATGCACAAAAATTATAGATTATAAATTCTAGATTTATGGTGCAGCAGATTTTGGCTAGAATGCTTTTTTTTTGTTCATTGATTTTTTGAATAAATATAAAAAGTAATTAAAAATAAATAGGTATTATAATAATTATAATAAAAAGAAAGGAATGCTTTGTGTGTGGCTTTGACACAGATTTTTAATTTTTGAATCAAGTTGGGCGTAGTTTTGTATTTCCGGAAAGATATTGAAAATATATATATAGATGAAGATGATAAATACATTCAGATAGGTGAAGTAATATAAGTAAATAAGAATGATAAATATATTTATACAAATATATTTAGACGGTAATTTGGGCTTGTTTTCATTGAGCTCTGTGGCTGTAGGGCAAACGAGCTCGGCTTTTATGGTAAATACACACAAGAGTACAAGGGAGTATGGGTCTGAATATGCGAGTGTGTCCAAAATTAAATTGAAGCTTTTGATTGATTTACGAAAAATGCAAATTCGTCGTCGCAGCACAATCATGATGAACGCGTTGATTATGATGGAAGCGCCAATCGTAATGAAGTCGAGATATTTCCTATGAACATCTTTGTTTTTTGTTTGCCTTAGAAGTTTTTGTGATTATCGATGAATTTTGTTGTTTTGTTTTTGTCTTTGGCTCAGACGGAGACGGAGACCTGTTGGTGCGTTTTTCAAGCCAATTTGTTAGCTTATGCGCTGTGTGTAATTAGTCATTTTTTTTTTTTGCTTTTCGTATTTTTGGACAAAGTTTTCTTTATTTATCGTATTGTAGTAATTTATTGGTGGACACTCGTCAGTTTTTGGCTATAAAAAGCACCTGGACAGCCATAGCAGACATCACAAGTCCACAAGAGTTCACAGTTCGTAGTTCGATCGCGAAACATTTTCCCAGAATGAAATACACAATTGCTTTGGTATTGGTTGCATTCCTGGCGGCCGTCCTGGCGGCACCGCTCGATGACAGCAAAACGGCACAGATCCTGCGCCTCGAGTCCGATGTCCAGCCCAACGGCTACAAGTTCGGGTAAGAGAGAGAGAGAGCGAGAGAGAGCGAGAGAGAGAGAGAGCTGCAGTAACAGGGCGTGTTCCTCTTGACAGTTGGGAGACGAGCGATGGACAGAAGCACGACGAGGAGGGCAGCCTGACCAATCCGGGTGCTGAGAACGAATCGATCGCTGTGCGCGGCTCCTACTCCTTCACGGCCGATGATGGCCAGGTGTATACCGTGAACTATGTGGCCGATGAGAACGGCTTCCAGCCGGAGGGCGCCCATCTGCCCAATGTGCCCATTGGCAACTAAGCTGTATTTTGGAAACCAAGAGCTGTTCTTTCTATTAAGCATTTGAATTTATATATATGTATATTTAATAAAATGGCATCATGCAAGCATAAATTGTAGCAACCGTCGACGGGTCTTAAATCCATCTGAAACTGGTATTCAACACTGAATATCCAGAAGTAGTTGCCAAATGCAACTTCCCCTTTACCAGTTAAACCGGAAATGATTATATAGAAATTCAAATTTCTAACAAAAATCCATATTTTGACTTTGATGCCGCCTCAACTTTGACTTTTGCATGGCATCTACTATAAAAAGCGCTGCAACGCTGCAGTCGGACATCAAACAGTTGTTGACTCTACAACCCGGAACACAACATGAAGTTCATTATCCTGTTCGCCGCCTTCTGCGCCCTGGCCTGCGCCGCGCCCAGCGACGTTGTGATCACGGATCAGCGTCTGGATGTTGAGCCCGAAAAGTGGTCCTTCAACTCGGCAACCAGCGACGGCGCCAGCGCCCAGCAGAGCGGCGTCCTCACCAACGCTGGCAGCGAGCACGAGGCAATCGCCGTCAAGGGCTCGTTCGAGCACGTTGGCCCCGATGGCGTCAAGTACACCGTCAACTACATCGCTGATGAGAACGGTTTCCAGCCCGAAGGCGCCCATATCCCAAAGGCTGATTATTAAATCATATCAATAATGTCGAACATGAATCCGTTTTAGAACTCAAATAAATCAAATGGGTTAATGCAAAGTCTGTGATCCTTGAGAATATTTCACTTTTTTGATACCCCCTCGAGAAGGACTAAATACCCTTCAAGACGTTAGGTTTACGGTTGTGCTGATATCTTAGATGCATTGTGAAGCTCGTTATTGCTCAGTTTGCGAAAGATATCTTGAAAAACTGAACATTCTTGCTATAGAGCTATATGATATAGTATTTCAATACCTTTAGGATTTGGCTTACATTTGTGGAGCATGATAGCAGCTCGTAAATCCCAATTGGGATTACGATAGCAAGAACCAATTATCATTCCATTTCCTATATGATATAGTGGACCGACATTGATAAGATTACGCTTATATATAGTCAGCAAGGTTAAATATATGTATGCCAGGTTTAATCTAGATATCTTGGGTAATAGATTTTTCATGCAAGAACTTTATTTATGATGGAGTGTTCCCAAGGCAGCTATATGGTATTTATTTTATTTATTTATTTATTTACTAATTAATTAATTTATTTATTTATTTATTTATTAATGGTCAAAACAAACGAGTGTCTCCCTAATTATTAAAAACATCAAATGATGAAAATTAAATGCTAAAAGCCTTATTAGAATACACAATTTATTAATAGCATCAGCGACACAATGGAGGTATTCTATTTCTCTTTTCTCAGCTAATTTTGTCAGTAATGTATTTTAGAGCCTACAGCTAAGAAGGGAGATGCTCTTGATCCGATCCTATGCCAGTTTCCAAGACAATAGACTGGATTGCTTAGGAACAGGCAGGCGAATAGAATATATATGGACTCAATGCGGTCGGAGGTGACTCCATACTCAAAGCATATCGGTGTGTCCTATATTTTGCTACATTCCCATCATTAAGACCTTGTAGCTTACTAACGATCAGGCAATAGACATAGACTTTATTTAATCGTGAATTTTTTAACCAGAGAAAAAAAACAGCACAAGCGATTCCAACAATGCGCAGTGCTTAGGCTGGTTTGTTTTCGCTTCGGAGCTGACTGACTATAAAGAATCAGTAGGAAAATTCACTAGTACAAAATTAATGAATTAAGCTCTTACACAATCTCAGACAATAGCACCTAAAACCTGACGAACATTAATACAAAATATTATATAAGATCTCAATACGCTGACCAAAATAATAATAAAAAATAAATAAATAAAAATCGAAGCTGAAAACAGTGTATATTTTAGTTAAGCACCCCGAAACACACTAAAATGTATAATTCAGCGTTTTGCAACACTGAAATCATAGCTGATGTCAGTGAAGAAAATAAGTAGACTTCAGAATGAGTTGGGCGCAAAACTATTCTCTTTAATATAGAGGTTGACAAATAAACAGAAGAGAGTGGGAATAGGTCTAGAATGGAGTATAGAATAATATAAGCTAAGGGTAGAAGATATTTCTTACTTCTTCCATGTGTACACGATAAGGAATTAAATTATGTAAACTAAAACTATTATAAAGAGTTAAAGGTCACAAGTCGGAAGTGTCCGACAAGGGATACCCGAAACCTTTTTCTCCCAAAGGGATACACTAGCATTGATAAAAATAAATAATATTTTTAAAAAATGAAAGGGCTTAATGGGTTTAAAGTATGTATATACCTAAATGTTATTTTATTTTCCTTGTACAGGATCCATTTACCGAGCACAATAAGAATCCAGATAAAGTTCATCTAAATAGACTTATTCGATACATGAAAATCGAGTAAACGACATAATATCACATATAACACCAACACTTGATATCTAGAGAAATGCCTTTGGTCTAGCTGGCCTTATTCCAACAAAAGCATTTGTGGACCTAGAACAACAACCTTCTACAAACAGAGAAGGGAGTACCTACATTTGGTTATAGCATAAACTTACATAGATACAAATGACAAAAACACGAGTTAGAGATACCAAATTTGGTGTAAAGAATATCTTAGAGAACCAGAATACTTAACTTATTCAATAGCATTTGAATAACTTTTTGGGAGGTATTGTCTTGGGCTTTGTAATTTACATGCATTTGAATATCATGTTTATGGTCCAAAAAGTTCATAAAGATCGGCCGATAAACATCTCAGTTATTTGAGTACATATTTCATAGAGTGTGTGAATAGGGGAAAGGGAAGCTAAAATGTTATTCGAGGTATCTGCTAGTCGAGCACTCTTACTTCTTGGCACTGTTTTGAACTATCTCAAGAGCTGCCTTATCTGGAAACCCAAAAAAACTTAAAGCAGAACCTTTTTCAGGAAAACAATCAATTTATTTAAAATTTAATATCGCTGCTTAGGCAACGGGGGCGACGGGCAAATGGGCGCCCGAGGGCTGGAAACCGTTCTCGTCGGCGATGTAGTTGACCACGTAGGTCTGACCATCATCGGCAACGAAGGAGAATGAGCCCTGAACGGAAATAGCCTCTTGTTCTGTGCCAATGTTCTTCAGCTGACCCTGTTCGTCCTTTTTGGTGCCATCGGATGTCTCCAAACTGTAGTTGTGAGAGCAAAGGATCAGCAAAGGCTTGAAGCTTCCAAAATTCGTATGGCTTACCCATATTTGTAGCTTTCTGGCTGGACATCTGAGTCCTGACGCAGAATTTTGACATCATCAACAGGCGCTGCCAGGGCCAGGGCGAAGAGGGCGACGAAGACAATGAGGAACTTCATGTTTAGATATTGTGTAGCGCGTTTGAGGCTTCAAAGGTAACTATGCTTTAACTAGCCGCTTGTCTGCGTATTTATAGTGGATCTTGCGGGGTCCATTAGGCATAACAAAAACAATACTCTATCCAAAAAAAAAATAATGAAAAAAAATGCTGAAAAACTAGTTTAATATATACGTACGACTTGGCCAACTAAAATGCAAACTTAAAATCGTAACAATTGATTTAGTAGCGAAATGAATATTAATTTAAACTTGAAATAAACTACATAAATGACTATGTATTCATGTCGGCCCATAAATGGATCTTGTCTCGCCGTCAAGCAGGCCTACATGGCAAACATGCAAATTTAAACAAGAATGGAAACAGACTACATACTAATAGGGCATATATCTATAGATATATAGAAACCTTTGCAAACGCATGTCAAATGTTCGCAAAAGCAGATCCAATTCTTTCCAATTCTCTACTATTTTTATGGAGCAACATGTTTGAGTTGATTATTTGCAAATTCGGTGGAGCCGCATTCATAATTGTAAAAGAAATAAAAATAAAACGTGATCTGGGCAACGTCTACGAGAAGTTGCGAAGTTAATTAAAACTATTTTCAAGCCAAACTTGTTGGTCGCTTAAATTTTTGTTCATTTGAGAAACAAGGCAAATATAGATATATATAGTTTTTAATTTACATATGGAATTCCTTTTTTAAGATTTTTTTTGCAACGTAATTTGTGTAAGTATTAGACTATTTCTTATTACAGTCAAGGTTGCAAAAATATTTAGAACAAATCCGATACGACATTGAATTTAACATGAACCGAACCATATTTCATCAATAAATAAAATAGGAATTTGGGTATAGAATATATTTGAAATGTTCTAGTTTGAATCGCAATTGATATGACGAATCTGTTTCAGATTGGTTTGAGACTTAAAGAAGACTACAGAATGTATATTCCTTTTACAGGCACGATTCCATTTGCTGTCCTCCCGTTCAATATACAGCGCATCTTTTAGTCGAGCAAACTTGACTCGACTTAAGACTTTTGTTTGAATTTCAATTATTTGTTCGCTCTTTTTAGATTTTGTGTGCAGTCCTCATAGCTTACAGGGGCGACAATTAACACATGTCGGCCTCAGCACAGATATTCACAAGCCCATGTAGGAAAAAAACAATCAGAAAAGCAACTAAGGGAGTTGCCTAGGAACAGCCCAACAAGTAGATACCCTAGATGACCTGTGCTCCCTCTTCGATTAGTCTCAAACTATGGCAAATATGTTCTTAAAGAACTCCGTTGTTTATTGTCCGATCTTGATGAAATTTTCAGGGCATAAACATGGCAACGGAATATGTGTGGATACCAAAGTCCAAGACGCTGCCGCCAAGAATGCATCCATTTTCAATTTTAAGAAGAACGCAGCAAAATATTCAAATAGTGAAATATTCTGGATGTGTCTATACTCCACTAGGAACTACAACCCAAATATGGTGAGTCCAGCTTTTATAAGAAACGAGATATGGTCAAAAAACATGGCTCGACTCAAGTTTATATATAGTTTATAAGGTTGATGATGCCTCCTTTTACCTGCAGAAAGCATTTCCCCACAAGCATGATACCCTTTTCCGACAATTCCAATGGGTTTAGGGTATCAGAAAATAATTATGTATAAACAAATAATGTGCTAATTGTATTTATTAGCTGCTGTTGTCGCCTTTCGGTTGAGCTACCCGCTATAAAAGCCAACTCGTATGGCCAAGAGCTGCAAATTATATTCGGCAGCCGATCAAGAAGACATCAATAGGAACATGAAGTGCGCCCTGGTCTACCTCTGCCTGTGCCTGTGCCTGGCCCTGTGCTCGGCTGCGCCCACGAACGACGCGACAATCGTGTCCCAATCATCGGATGTGCAGCCCGATGGCTACAAATTGCAGCTGGAGACGAGCGACGGGACCAAGCGCAACGAAGAGGGCATCCTCAAGAATCCTGGCACCGACAATGAGGCACTCGCTGTGAAGGGCGCCTTCTCCTACGTGGGCGATGATGGCGTCACCTATTCGGTGAGCTATGTCGCCGATGAGAACGGCTTTCAGCCCGAAGGCGCGCACATACCGCATGTCTAGCGGGGCGTGGCAATTAGCTTAAGCGAAAGCCTGTTATATAGTTTTTATAATAAATGAGAAAAGCATTTGAGAAAAGTCCAAAAAGTACGAGTATCGAAATTCAATTTTAATGCGATTAACAATTACAAAGCACGACACTAACTTCACTCACTGACTGACTGACTGACTGACTGACTGACCGGATGATTGACTGACTGACCGAATGACTGACTGACTGATGCACAGCACAACCAACTTAGAGACTAAACAAATAATGAGCTTATCCATCGGTTATCCAGTGTGTGTGTGTGCGGTGTGGGTGTGTATTACTTGGGTATGTGCGCACCCTCCGGCTGGAATCCATTCTCATCGGCCACAAAGTTAATGGTATAGGTCTGTCCATCGGGCGCCACCCAGCTGACGGATCCGCGCACGGACAGGGATTCGTTCTCGGTGCCCGCATTGTTGACCACCGCCTCCTCGGTGCGCGTGGTGCCGTCGCTTAGCTTATAGCTGAACTTGTAGCCGCCAATGCCAATGTTATCCGACTCGTATTCCACCACCTCGACATCGCCCTGGGGTCGAGCCGTGCAGCAGGCGGCGGCCAGCAGCAGCAAACCAACGACTAGCATCTGTTCAAGGATACAATGAAACGGCAAACAATTGATTGTTCACGGGTTATCGGTGATCGGTTATCGGTTATCGTTTATCGTTATCGGTTATCGGTTATCCATTTACCATTTTCATCATCTTGTCGAGCGTTTCGTGTGTGCGTTGCGTTCACTTGTGTCCGTTGAGACAATCGAGCGTCCAATGTTGCTAATGCCGCATCTTCGCTGCATTTTTATAGCCCGCATTCACAGATTTTGCCAACGTCATAAATTTTGCACAATTGTGCGGCAGTAGCACATACAGAGACGCGACTCTCGCGGCCGTCCGGTAATGTATTTAATTTACCAACAGTTCACCAATAGCCGCCAGCCTCAAAGTCGCTGCGACAAGTAACATTTAAAGCGAATCTTCGACGGCGACATTACCAAATGCACATTCTGGCTTAATAACTATTCGATGCACTTGGGCCAAATGCCTTTAAATGCACTGGCTAAATATATATAAAGGGGTTTAGCGAGAAAGTGAAATGTGTCAAGGGAAGTAACAGCCCACGATTCGAACTCTAAATTTGTTTACCAATGCAAATATATATACACTATAATATATACTTTTATATATCCATGTCAATTTCCTTTCGCAAATAATGTTTAGGCTACTTTTAATAGGTATCCACTTAAATTATGAATAAAAAAGGATTCGAACCTCCAATTTTATTGCTAACAAACAACTTTGCATACTGCAAATAGTTTTCTTATAAAATCAAGAAAACAAGTTTGATTTCATTTATAACTGGTACAAAAATTATTTAAAAAATTTTTAAATTAATTATTATTTTATTATTTATCCCCTTTTATATTTTTGAGTTTGGAAACTTTACAATTAAATTCCCTTTTCTCTTTACAAATTTTCCCTTTTAAAAAAACGTTAACAGAAATAAAAAAAAAATCTCCCTATTATTATAATATTATTTACTTTGGCTTGCTCCAAGGCAATTAACAATTCAATTTATGATCCTCCTGAAATTTATTAAATAATAAAAAAATAGAGCTTGATTTATTTAAAACTTGAACAGAAATAATTAAATAGAGTAGAATAGAATAGAGTGAATACGATTTTTGGTTTTAGACAATTCACAATTTAATTTCCTTTTCTTCAATATATTACGACTCTCCTCGAGAATCTTCACACTTAAATATTTGTTTATAAATTAGCAACAAAACAATCAATAAACAAATACAAAAAAAAGCAAAAAATTCCAACTAAAATGCCTTAAGAATAATAAGAAAATAGAAACTTTTCCAGCTAAGAAAGACATCGAGTCTATAGAAGTTCCAAATAATGTTTAAAGATTCTAATTTAGTTAGAAATTAAAAATTGTCATAAATCATGTTAAACTTTGTCGTATAAATAGAAAAAATTGTGAGCAACAACAGCAATAAGTTCATAAGCTGAAAGTGTATCTGGAATTCGTAGTAAAATCTTTAAGTAGCCGAATGTCGGTTTAATGAATGCGTAAATAGTTTGTCTTTTGTACAATATGTAAACACCATACTAGCCGATGGTTTATTGCCCAAGTATCTAGATATTCAATGTGTTTTAATGTTTAATAATTTTAGTCAAGCTGCTGACCCATCAGCATTTAGCCGAGGCTCTCGCAGCTTAACTGGCAACAGTTTAACTGGCAGCTGGCAGCCAACAGTTAACAGAGGGCCGCAAGTTCATATCAAGTCCGAAATAATTCTACATATGTATGTATATGCTCTGCTGTGTATGGTCGACTGGCAATCGGAAAAACCAGCAACGTGCTTGACTCTTGACATATGCAACGGCCTTTGCAGCCAGCTTCGGATTGATGTCTCTGGCAACTGCAGCGGATCTCGCCACATACACCTATTCACGTATTCAGCATCTTTCGTATCTTCATTTGGTTTTTGTATTTTCCAATTTATTCCACCTTCGTTGACCGCTACAAGTCGCCAAAGAAGCAGCAGCAGCAGCAGCAGCAGCAGCAGCAGCAGAAGAAGCAGCTACAAATTGGCAAGCCAGTCAATCGAGTTTTTGGACACTTTTTTTTTTTCCAACTAAGGCGACCTTTTCCCAATACCCGATACCCAAAACTTTGGGCAGCCAGTCAACTGGTCTATGCCCAGGACATTCTCCAGCTGACATTGACCACAAGATAATCCATCCATTTAACATTTAACAGATTGTTAGATCGGATTACGCTAGTCGGTACTAGCTGGCATACTAGCTATAAACACAGTTAATTTTTAGCTAGTTAACTTCCTGCATTATTGTATATGGTATTCTGAATGTCTTCTTGATGTTTAATTACCAACTTGTGCTTAAGACGCAAGTTATTAAAAGACTAGTTTCAAAGTGTACTTAATGACCTTCTGCTTCGCAACAATATCCAGAAATTAATTTCAAAAACTTTGCGCATCGCAGTTCTTATACCCAAAGAAAATTGCAACCCCAAACCAAATCATGTATATATATATATATATATTGTCTTGTTCCGTCTGTCCGTTGGCAAAATCCTAAAATTTGAAATATATATTTTCGTAATGCATATATAATTTTATCGTCATCTCCTCGCATTTCCATAACAACAAGAAATCTCAATTTGACGAAATGATTTTTTTTAAGAATTACTAGAAAATTACACTAAGTAAAACATATACAAATTTGTTTAAACACTTTTGCTTTAAGTTATATATTTCATAGATTTGCAGCCCTTTTACCACAAATTATTATATATTATATATTGGTGTTAAGCTTTTTAGATGGGTAAGAATTAGTTAAGTTATTGCGAACCAACCCCCAAAAATTTGCCAGAACAAACATCTTTTAATTTAAATTAAAATAAAACATGTCTACCAAAAATGTTAAAGATATCTTTTGATTAAGGTTACCCTAATCTAAAAGAAAGAATAATCGGTTTAATAAAACAATGTCGTATCCGATTTGGTATTTAGGTTATCGTAGGGTGTATACAGATTAAAATAATTGCACTCTTTTGATGCCTTTTGAATATACTAATTCCCACCAAAGTAAGAAAAATCGACGAAGATCTCTTGCTTTGTTATAAGCACACTTTGGTATGCCATATATAAGAAATGAAAATTTCACAGGAATCGGACTATAAGCACCGAAAGTTTATCAAGAGAGAATTTCTTGAGGGTGAGGGTTGGTGCTTGTGTGGCTTTGTGTCTGTGCGTTTGCTTTTGCTTAAGTACGTTAAAGGGAAGATATATATAAACATTTTCTCTCTCTCTAAATATTACGACAAGGCATAATCTACTTTTCTACTAATATAGTCAAAAAGACGTAAGATAAACAAGTCCGACTAACTTTGGCTAGTTCGTATTGCAACAAAGTTGTCTGATTTGTTTTTGGCCTAATGCCTCCTGTGTTTGTAGTTAATAAAATTGCGGTTAACTAAGTTGATTATAGATAGATAATCAGTTAGATAATCAGTCAATCCTTGAAAAATATCCTTGTGATTGATTGTGATGTTAGTTGCTGAATGGATATGGCTAAATGGTTCAAAATGGCTAACATATAGAAATGCAAATGGGTTTTTTTTTTTGGAAAACAATTTATTTAAAATTTAATATCGCTTCTTAGGCAACGGGGGCGACGGGCAGATGAGCGCCCTGGGGCTGGTAACCGTTCTCGTCGGCGATGTAGTTGATGGAGTAGGTCTGACCATCATCGGCAACGAAGGAGAACGAGCCCTTGACGACAACAGCCTGCTCTTCTCCGATCTGCTTCAGATCACCCTGGGCCTCAGAGACAGTACCATCATCCAGCTGCAGGCTGTAGTAGGGAATGTAAAGGATCAGCAAATGTTTGTTTTGCTCGAAATGACGAGATGAGAGACTTGGAGACTTACGCATTTTTGAAGCCAGTTGGGCTGACATCTGATTCTTGACGCAATACAACAGCATCTTTCTGTGGTGGCGCTGCCAAAGCCAGGGCGAAGAGGGCGACGAAGGCGATGAGGAACTTCATGTTTAGATATTGTGTAGTGCGTTTGAGATATCAAAGGTAACTATGCTTTTTAGGGCTGAACGTGTGCGTATTTATAGCAAAAAACAGATGGTCGCTTTATGTGGACAACAAAAGCGCAAAACTAGTTTAATGCTAAAGATGACCGAAAATTCACAACTTAAATTTAAAATGCATATATCGCTGCTTCAAATTTAATTATACATATACATATGTATATACTTATATATATATATATATATACATATATATTGTGCGCAAAGACGTCAGCATATTCCAAATACAAATTTTATGCTTATGCAAATTGAAGGCGTTGCTTCAAATCCCGCGCCTTTCAACTCATTCGACATTCTCTTTATACATTGGTAAGAAAGTTTCCGAATTCTTAAAAGAGTTACATAATCGCCGCGTTCTATTTACATACATATATTTATGCCTGTCTCTGCTTTCTATCTGCTTCTTGTCTGAACTTCACTGTCCCTTTCCAGACACAGATACCGAGTTGCGTCTTCAGACTTCAGATTAAGATGCTCGCATCTTCAAGGTCAGCGCCACTGTCTGATTATCTGGTTGGCAACCCGCACGCACGCACAGCCAGATCTTGGCCAGACTCTGACAGACGGGCAGACAGACAGACGGACGGACGGCCAGACAGACGAAGAGTTGGGGCTACCGGTTCTTCGAGTGTGCGGCGACATCTTTTCATACCCTTGCTGTGAGTACTTTAAGTTTGTCATGGCGTGTGTAACACATAGAAGAAGATGAAGTATATATATTCTTGATAAGTGTTAACAGTTGGGTCGATATAGCCAGATTCCGCTTTCTGTTTGTTTCTATGCCAAGTAGTCTCTCAAGTAGTCAAGCTATCCTCATCAAACTTTCCATACATCCGTATCTATAGCACATATATTGAAACCGGCCTGATCGGACCAATATATAGTTGTCTTTGACCTCCTTTTGTATTTCCTTTTATCAAGCTATCTTCAACAAACTCTGCACTCACAAGCTTCCCCCAATCCCCATGTAAAGTAGGGTACTCAATCTTCGGCTTTTCAAAGGTATTTATTCTTACTGGTTTTCTTTCGGCTTGACTTCTTTTTTTAGTACGGCTTTGGCATCAGCTCGTCTTTGAGGGGCCACTTAAATTAGCACTTGCGCGTTAATGGCAATGTCTTAAAGCCAAGTTTTGTTTTTGTTTTTCGCCCCACACTCCCCCCCCAAACACTTCGCTGCCTTCGTTCTAGCCCCGCTCAATGGGTTTATTTACATAGTCTGTGTGCGTATTGCAATTTCAATATGTAAATGTCACGCTGCCATCGACAGAGCCTTATGGGTTTTTTTAATTGCTTAACCGCAGTATCGCAACATGTGCGAATACGCCACAAAATAATTCAATTAACTTGAGACCAGGTTATGAAGCAGTCGTCGCAGGAGCATACGAATTGGTAATTCGTTTCCGATTTTGGAAGCAAATTCAATGTCTACGTTAAGTGCATACTTTTAGTCAGAGCCAAATTGGGGTCGGACGTAGAAGTGACTATCTCCGAAACTCTCAGGTATATATACTCTGGTCAGGAGTACATCAAGACACATTTCTCTGACAAACTATAACAGCCAAAAGCCCTAAATTTAAAAATGTTCCCATATCAAGTTTATATTCAAATAATCGAAAGTTCGTCAGACTAGATATATGTATATCAGTGAGAAGAGATTTCAGTTAATATCGATAAAAGCAGATTTGAACAAATATCGATTAAGAGACATACTTAATTAATATCGATAAGAAATTTTTGAAATTTCGATTAAAAGGAATTTCAATAAATATCGATAAAAGAGATTTCCCATCGATAAAAAGAGATTTTAATTAGTATCTATAAAAAGAGATATCAGTAAGTATCGATAAAAAGAGATGTCAAAAAATATCGATTTAAAAATATCGATATCGATAAATTTCCTGTGCCGTCATTGAACATAAATCGGGGATAACAAGATAATAAACCTATTAAATCCTATTAATTTATTAAATCCTATTAAAAAATCAAGTTGGTTGATATGCCGAGGGTCTGATCCCTAGATGAGCCCATAGTGTTTGAATCCGAATCGATAGAGTTAGTCGTGGCGATCCTGGCAAGGTTATGGAAGTGTTAGACCTATTTTAGTAAAAAGTACACTTAATTATAGTCAAACCTCGCTCATATCCCTGCAAGTCTGGCAAAAACATACCTTCTTATGCACCCAGCGAGCAGAACTATCGATTGGCATTTAAAAAATGTTCAGGATTCAACTCAAACCAAGGAATATCATAATGTCCTTAGATCCAAAGGAAGTTCATGTTCTGCAGCCTTAGAATATTCAATGAAAATCCATAAGGCAGATGCTTGCTATTCTAACGCACTATTGCTTTTGAACATCTGCAAGAATTTGATTAAGTTGGAGTTTACGATTTGCAAACAAATTTATATATTTGCAGCTTCTCAAAAAACCAAGCACAAGAGTATGCAGTTAAAAATTATATAAATTTCACGCTCAGCGCCAAAGTATGGGATAGCTTGACGCCAAGCCCTGATTGTTTTTACGTAAAAAAATATGTTTGTATGTATATACAAATTTATACGCAATACTAGAAAAATTGCCCGACGTCGCCCGGCTAAAAAGAATAAAATACATCCTATTATTTTAACTTTTTGTAAATAATAATTATTTACAATAACAAGTTAGAAAATTGAAAATAACTTTTGAATTGGAAACGGCAACCTCACGCTTGTTAGTTCGACTCTTAAACACCTTAGTCAAGAATATATCACGTTGATGTTCTTTTAGTCAAACTTTGACGAACTTCTTCGCTCATTTGAAGATTAAATATTATCCAAACCATGTTACGCTCAAAAAAGGCTCTTAACCTCGTAATGCTTCTCGTTTAGTGAATAAGTCACGAGAAATTGTTGTTTATATATATATATACATATATATATATCAATAGATTTATAATGCAGTTTTCAAGAGTCTAGTCGTATGACCATTTTCTCCAGATATGGATGATCGACAATTCTTATGAGCGCAGTTCATTTAAACTCAAAATTAAAATTATTAATTTCAATTTTGGTCTGAAAAGCCAACTAGTCAACGACTAAGCTCTTAATTGCTTCCGGCCTCTCTTAGCCACACACGATCATATAAAATGACACAAAATATATATAAATTAAATATTTAAAAATGTTTTGAAAAGTCACTTCATTCAAACACTTTTTCTAACAAGTTGTCTGCCAGTAAGTTTATGATCAGTTATGCGAATCGGTTTGTTTTGTTTTGTTGTTGATTAATTATTATTAGCCAAACGATAGACGATTCTACTTTAAATCTCAGTAAACTGATCATTTCCAATGAAATATTATCCAACTATAATCCGCACTTGATTTACTTTAGATATTGACACTAGTACAGATTTGTTTATCGTCTTTCAATTATTTTATTGAATTGCATTTTGTTTTAATTTAACTCTAATCGGAAACCATAGAAAAAGCACCTAAACTAATACGTAGAACAAACATTAACACAAACTTGCCTAAAACTGGGGAAAACCTCAAAGTCTTGCCTTGAGCTAAGTCTAAATAAAAAACAAAACAAATGAGAAACTCAGCCAGCCAGCGATGACAAAGATTTCGGTGACAATTTGCGATTCTTGAGACCCGGACGACGCGAGGGTCGAGCGTTTCGGGCAAAATTGTTGGCATTCTGTATATCCTCAGGCGTGGAGCGATCATTGATCAGCTCGCCCACCTCATCGCGATGTGTGCCATTTGGCAGCGTATAACTGAAAGAGTTCAGAATTAGAGACCACATTTCGCTTGCCGCTTGCCGCTGCACCTCTACAGCTCCAGCTTACCCGAACTCGTAGCCCTGACGCGTGGGTATATAGCTGAACTGTTCGATAATCACATCGCCCAGCTGAATGTCCAGCACGGTGCCAGGTGCATATGAGGCGATGGCGCCGTTCTCTCTGCCACAAAGAACACTGGCGAGCAGCAGCAGCAGCAGACACCTGCTTATAATTGACATCGTGTGTTCACAGTTGCAACCGTCGGCCCTCACAGCTGGCTGTGAATTGAAGCCAAACTCACTGCTCATCATGGGGCACACATTATGTTCGCGACGAGGCCAAACCAAAAGCCAAAACCAAAAAAAGCGCTGAGTAAGCCCGGAGGTGCTGGTAACACGATTGCTTCATCCATTGCCGTCCAGTTTACTTTTGTATTTGCATAAGGAAAGCAGCCAAAGAAAAAACCAAATAATAGACAAACAACAACAAATTCAAGACAGCCAACATACATCACATACAACCGCTGCATGTTGAGTTAAAAAACCATTTAAGAAACATAACACATCAAAGAAAAGCTTTTCCGACGCTCTCAATGCCCTATAACATAAGCAATGCGGGGGGCTTACATGTTGTACAAAAACAAACCACAAATCATTCATAAACAAAACACACAAAAACTGAGCTAGCCGCAGCACCAAATGCCCTAACAACGGCAGAGTTCGTACGGATCGTATATACCAATTATTTATGTGCTTAAAAAGCTTTGTGTAAACTTAAAAGCTTTTTTTAATGTGCTTAAAATACGCTACTTAATTTATTGGAATTTAAAGCGATATATTTATAAAGAAGACTGGTATATGTGCAACAACAAAAGTTACAAACAGGTTCACCTAGCCTATATGCCCGCTACAATGACAACAGCTTAGTAATCACAGATCCATTAATCAAATGCTCTCTCAGCGAAGCTTAACGCTTAAAGCTTAGCATTTTCAGCAACCACAATTTTCGAGCTTTTAAGTCGCGCTTTGTAAACTGAAAGCTTTTTATACTGTGTAAGAGTATAAACTTACGAATAGGGTATATTAACTCATAACTCATCAACAATTTGGCATATCGATCTCAGGGAATAGGACATCTTATATTTAAATAATTGAGAATTTTGACTATTCACATCGCAGCGACGTGATCCAATAGTATGTAA